TTTCCTTGGCTTCTCACCCGTATATATATATATATATATATATATATATATAAATACACTATTTGAAAAGGATTGCTGTTCAAGTATTAGTTTGTAAAATATTTTTTATTTTAATTAAAAACCTAAATGTTTTAATATAATCTATACTTTTGTAGATATATTTTTTGGTAATGACTTGAAGAGAGTTAATTTTAGTACTTGTAAATTTGGTCTAGATCAAACACATATTTCTAGAAATTTGAAATGTACTTTCATGAATGAGTTTTGCTTGCACTAGAATGTCATAAATATAGATAAATGGTTCATGTGGTTTTTTTTTTCATATCAAGTGTAATACAGTTCATCAAAATCATCAGTTAGTAATCACAGTTAACTGATTGCTTTGTTTGTCCACATCAGTATTGTTACCAGTTTCCTGAAATTATACACTATATATTTGCTGTCTCTAGTTGTAAAATGTTGCCACTGTATTCAGGAGAAATAAAGGTAATTTCCTGTTTGTGTGTGTGTGTGTGTGTGTGTGTGTGTACCTGGTGGTGTCCCCACAAGGATAGTAATACCAGTCTTTTTTTGTGACTGAATCTTGTGGGGATTTTATTATTTATTGTTTTGGTCCCCATGAGGAAACAAGCTTATAAATCATACAGATAGTCTGAAAAAAAAAAAGATAAAATCTAAATAGAGTAGGGTTAGGGTAAGGGTAAGTACAGTTTGTACAGTATAAAAACTATTACGTCTGTGGAATGTCCCCATAAGACATGGAAACCCAGCGCGCGCGCGTGTGTGTGTGTGTGTGTATACTGTGTGATAAAGGACTTAAATACTTTAATATATGAGCACAAACCTTTTAATAACAACAACAACAAAAAGATGTGCAGAATTCAGCACGTCAAAATATTAGTGGAAAACCTCTATAATATAAGTTTTACGGAGCTTCTCGGAGTTACAGAGTATACTCACAACAGAAAAACAATGTGGATCAGAAATATTGAATGGAAAGTACAATGCGAAAGAAAAGCGTCATGACGCGAGGCGTGGGTGAGCACAGGAAGGGGGGTGTTTTACATTGATAAAGCTTGTGCAGTAGGGTGGAGTGACGGAGCGTCTCCTATGAGGTTTGACTGCTGTTTGCGCAACTGTCGGTGGAGAGCGCAGTCTGACATCGCTGGGAGGGTGAGCTGCTTTATTGTTTTCACTTTTACAGAGAGAAATGCTACATTACATAATAAAATGCCTATCGAATTCAGACTTTTTTTTAGATATATTGAGAAAAAGGTGTATTTAAAACCCGTTCTGTTGGCTCGCTTCTTTGTGTTCTCATGCGCAATGGCGCAGCCGGATTTGTGTTTCACAGTGTTGCGTGCGCTGTCTTTCAATTCTCAATGCTGAGTTTTTATCAGATTGAGCTCATTCAGATGGATTCTATGCTAATACTAGCGAAAAAATTGACGTAAGCAGGTTTACGGTGGACATGGCTGAATCTGAATGTAATTTTTTTTTCATATAAGGCCTGAACAGCCGCTGACTTCACAGCCGTTATGATTCATTTACCATTTATGAACTGACCTGCGTTCTGTTAATGCTGCATAGATATATGTAGTGATGATAACGGCAGTAACTATAATATTTTGGTGAAAATTGTGTTTACCATGGTCATTTTTTGTAAGGAATGTTTACATCAAACCTTTTAAAGGTAGTTGACAAATAACATGGCAAAAAAATAAAAAAATTATATATAT